AAAATAAAAAAAAAAAAAAAAAAAAAAAAAAAAAAAAAATTTCTTATAATGTGATGGAGTACACGAGCTTTCATTTATACATTTAAATTTCTAAGAACATCATCTGACATCTTTGACAGTTTTACATCTATCTGACGAAAAAAAATGGAACATTTGGAAACAGGATACGTGATTGAAAATGTAAAGATTGTTAAATATATAGGTTAAATTTAAAAAAAAAATTATCTGTATTTGGATAATCGATCATTAGGATAATGGAACTTCAGATAATGCACGTTCTACTAAAATTCGGTCTGCTTTTATAAAATTTTATACAAAATATAAATATATTTTAATATCCCATAAAAACGTATAAAAATGTAAAATTATTTATTACTGCATTTTATATTGAATGAATGAAGAGAAATTTAATGAAGAAACGAATGTGATAATATTGTAATAATTTGCAGAAAAATATATATATTATAATAATCAGTAGCTAAATTTACATGAGTTTTAAAAAGATTTTTCTTTCAAATCTATTCACCGCGTTAGAAAGTTTTCTATTTTTTTCCCGCAATCTTCGGTAATTACTACTATTTGCAATTTATCAGAGAGAGAGAGAGAAAAAAAAAGAGACACGCGAACCGATAAGGAGTGTCGTCAGGACTAACGCGTACTGAAATGATGACTTAGCTCGATCGATAATTGAAGATAATCAATTTATCGATCAGCGTTCACTTTTTTAAACTTATACCGCGCATATATAACGAGCAAATTAGATTCTCCGTTGTGAATTACCGTTCGCAGTAAGTCGCAGTAAGTTCTGCAGGAAACATGAATCCGATGATACTCAGTTTAGTGCTCTTGGCCACGGTATTAGCGAGCTCTAATGGTAAGTGGTGACGTGAATAAAACCTTCACTTAGATTTATAGCAGCTCACGCAAGTGTATTCGAATACCTATGGGAACTTTATTCTCTTATAAATTATATAGTTTATAATTATCTACTATATAGTTTATAATTTATATAGTTTATATAGTTTATAATTATATATATATAATTAAACTTATATAGTTTCATCGTATCATATTTAACGAGAATTACCTTTAGTGTCAAAAATTACATTCATAATAATAATCTTCTTATTATAATATTATAATAATAATCTAATTATAATAATATGATAATGTTCTTATTATAATACACTTGATATTAAGTGTATTAACTTGTATATACATTCCCAGATCGGATCAAAATTTTACTACCATAATAATGGCAATCGAGTCTCATTACATTGTCAATGAAATTTCTATGGAAAGGAAACTTCTATAACATATTTTAACGTATAAAAATTTTCTACGAAAATGTTTTGCTCGAATGCTTCGAAAAAAAAAGAATGAAAAGAATTAAACCTCGATTAAATCAATGCACGTGTTAACGTTACAAAACCATCACCATTCGATTGCAGCCGAAAATATAACGCAGGACTTGGACCCGAGAATCGTAAATGGTGTAGACGTCGGGCCAAACGAAATTCTGTTCCAGGTAAGAGAATCAGTTGTTTAACGCGAGATCGAATAGAACAAAGCTGGAAATTGTTT